TACTGCACTCACAAAGCTGACTGTTGGTTGACCCGTGCCGAACTCCAAGCAACCGCTCCGGATGTTCTCGCACGCTACGAACGCAAAATGCAAGGCAAGCCGGTATCTTTGGCTCCACATCGCACCAGCGTCCAGGTTCCACCTTCAGATCGTCAGCTTCACCCTCAACCCGGCTTGACTTCATAAGGAGGGGGGGGTGTTATATGCTGCACCTGCAATAGGCTGCACGGGCCATTTCCAGGCTCGTGACGTTTTCAGGCCAAAAACCTGAAAACAAGGGCCTACAGGCCCTATGTCGTTTCAGCCTGAAAGCCTGAAAACAAGGGCCTACAGGTCCAGTGTCGTTTCAGGCTAAATCAGAGTCTTTCCGGCCCTGAGTATTTTCAGCCTGAAACTGAGGGCCATTTTCGGGCCCTCATCAGTTCGACCTGCCCTGAAACTCGGGCAACAAACCAGGGTTTTAGCACAGGCCATTTTGGGCCTGTTTTCAAGACAACCCCTGGTTGAGATTCAACGCCAGGGTCTGGCACTTTTCGGCATTGGCAGGAGCAGCCTCCTGGACGGGCCAGCACTATATAGGACTGGCCCGCCCTGCAGGCAGGCAGATAGTTCCTAGGTAGGTACTTCACGTGCAGTTCACGAGGCAGGAGGTAGTCTTCAGAGTGCTGCAGGAGTAGTAGTAGCGATGGCAGTAGTCTTCAGCGCTCGGCGCTAGTAGCATTAGCTGTAGTCTTCAGCGCTGGGCGCCATAGCAGCTAGAGTAGTACTATCGAGAGAGAGATTGGGCGGAGGCCAAAGGAGCTTACCTGCAGCGCCATCACTCCAGCTTCACCTTCGAGGTACCTGCAGCACAGCGCCACCTTCACAGGTTAGTACCTGGCATATGAGAGAGAGAGAGAGAGTTCTTCTTCTTCCTCTTCTCAGTAAACCATCTCCATCTCACCCCCTCGCTACCTGACTTCACTGCATCAGCAGACAATGTGAGAGAGAGAGACAGCTTGGTGACATTTGGATCCAGACTCGACATTGGACTTCAGATATTTTGACGAGGGATTATTCGGGACTTGTAGCGAAGACTTGGCGTTGACAACTTTCCCATCTCCCCCCTCCTCTTCTTCGTGTGTTTCCCTCCTCTTCGTATGTGCATGATCTGGACCTGGCGCCTTCCTCCTGTGTATAGCGCCAGGTTTCCTTCACACTTTGTGATGACAATGATGTATGTTGGGTCTGCGTTGCAACATTGATTGGGCTAGTCATTGGTATTCTAGCATTCTGCTACGCTACCTTACACTACGTGATAGAGGTCAGTTTCGGTCAGGTCAGGACTTGTATCTAAGTCTTCCCTGCGCTATAAAGCACCATGTTTGTATGTATCGGAATGTACATTGCTTGTTGAGATTCTACTTGCACTCCATTGTCCATTCAGTCCTTTTCATCACATTGCGGATCCTCGGGTTTTATATGTACATTGCCCAACTGGGCATGTAACAGCACGGCAGAGCCGCTGGAGACTAACATTCTTGTATATTGATAATAATATTGGAGACATCTTCAAGTGTTGATTGTATCTCGATTTGGCTTCTCACGTTTGATCTCTCATGTGAATGTTCATTGCTGTATGCAAGGTTGAACTTGACGAGTACTTCGCTCATTTCACAGACAGGGGAATCGCGGTAGGTGCCCTAGCAGAAAGTAGGCAGGGGTGGGGGGTGGCACATCCTTCCAAAGGGAAGTAATAAATGCCACCCACTCGGGTCTCAACCATAACAGGGAGAAGCGTACAAGTGTGTAATTGATGCACCCTTCTTGACTTGCCGATATAATAGGAACCGTCCTGACGCTCCCCAGATGGACAAGGAGCCAGGACCATAAAGGCCCGTTTTTCTTTCAAAAGAAAAAAAAGAAAAAAGAAGAATTAAGGATGAGAAAAGAAGAATGAAGAACAAAGGAAAAGTTAGAATCAATGTCACTCATCCCAACCATCATTTACTGCCAGAATCAACGGCTGAATTCTTCCCCTTACTGCCGGCATCACAAGAATATTGATAATAATATTGGAGACATCTTCAAGTGTTGGTTGTATCTCGATTTGGCTTCTCACGTTTGATCTGTCATGTGAATGTTCATTGCTGTATGCAAGGTTGAACTTGACGAGTACTTGGCTCATTTCACAGACAGGGGAATCCCGCATAGACAAGGTAGGTGCCCTAGCAGTAGTCAAGTCAGAGCGGGATCAAGGTAGTACTTCCACAGGCTAACTTAGGCAGGGGTGAGGGGTGGTACATCCTTCCAAAGGGAAGTAATAAATGCCACCCACTCGGGTCTCTCAACCATAACAGGGAGAAGCGTACAAGCGTGTAATTGATGCACCCTTCTTGACTTGCCGGTATAATAGGAACCGTCCTGACGCTCCCCAGATGGACAAGGAGCCAGGGCCATAAAGCCCCGTTTTTTTTTCAAAAAAAAAAAAGAAAAAAAAAAGAAGAATCAAGGATGAGAAAAGAAGAATGATGAACAAAAGAAAAGTTAGAACCAATGTCACTCATCCCAACCATCATTTACTGCCAGAATCAACGGCTGAATTCTTCCCCTTACTGCTGGCATCACAAGAAGCCCAACTTAGAACTCCTACACCTCCTACTAGTATTTGGTTAAGCCTCCGGCTATGGCAGCTCATCCAGCCCAACTTTTACCGTCCGGCCTACTTCACCATCCGGAGTCCTGCATACATCGGAAACCTCCTTGGGCACCTTCTAACTGCAGTGTCAACCAAGAAGTTGAAGATGCAGTCCCAAAGCCAGGGTAAGCCGTCTCCTTCTCTCCTCCTCCTCCTCCCTCCTCCTTCCCTCCTCCTTCCTCCCTCACTTACATCCATAGCCATGCTCTTCAACTACAGTGCTCTAGCTTCAAACACCATAGCCACGGTGGGCAGCAGCTCCTCCTTGCTGCTGCCGCTTGGTGCTTCTCTCACCAGTGCACATTCCAGCAGCATTGATTCATGGTCATCGATAGAATGAGGTGGAGCAATTCACCACTCATATACTTTGCCCGGTGCCTTCTCCCGAGGTAACTTCCAGACAACTCAGCCTCTAGACCCTACCGGTTCCCTTCCATTTTGGCGGGAACGTCATTGCAGTCTGATCTCCTACCTGCAGGTCCTAGACCTGGACWCCTTTCTGATGTTATTCAGACCGGTTCCTTCTGGAACCTACTTCTGGAGTCTGGACCTACCCCGACCCCCGAGGTAACTTCCAGACAACTCAGCCTCTAGACCCTACCAGTTCCCTTCCATTTTGGCGGGAACGTCATTGCAGTCTGATCTCCTACCTGCAGGTCCTAGACCTGGACCCCTTTCTGACGTTATTCAGACCAATTCCTTCTGGAACCTACTTCTGGAGTCTGGACCTACCCCGACCCCCCGGCACTGCTTTGGCCTACCCAAAGGGCCTACCCAAAGAAGGTCGAGATCGCGATAGCGAAGTCCAAAAATAGTCTCCCTGTGAAATGTCCAATCAATGTCTGCCTCTATGATGTTGAATCAGATCCTGGACCTCATAGCCCAACATAATCTCTGCCTGTAATCTCTCTCTCTCTCTCTCTCTCTCTCTCTCTCTCTCTCTCTCTCTAAGAAGAAGAAGAAGAAGAGGAAGTGGAGTGCGAGAACAGGAAGACGAAGAAGATGTCATCCTCTCCACTGTCTCACCTGCACGTATCTGCCGCTGTGTACTAACAAGCTGTCAAACTCCTCTGTGCTGCAAGTCGCTGGCCCAAGTACCAGCTATGGCGCCCAGGTAAGTTGCTCGCTCCTCACAGGTATGGCCACCACTCCTCTCTCTCTCTCTCTCTCTCCCTATGCAGCGCTGCACTGAAAGTAGTGTGCTGCTCCAACAGCGTGACATCCCAAAGAAGTGGGGACCCCTGTCTGCCCAGGAGCTGGGTTGGCCCACGACCTGCAATCTGGGGCGCGAGATCGTGGATCCGATCCACGGTCCAGGTCGCAGGGAAAAGTCCTGCTCCTGGGCCAAGTCTAAAACGAACTGGCTTACTTGCTGATGCAGCAGGGAATGTCCACTACCGGACGAAACCAAACCTGGCCAAAAACGTGGCCTTGGTCCAAACAGACACTGGTCTGTTCAGACATGCTGAAAAGTCTGAAACGATGCCGTGAAACAGATGAAAAATTGAAAATAGAACCAGGCAAGGGTCAGCAATAAATAAAGAAACAAATAAATAAAGGCACGGAACTCCTGGTCGCGTGCCTGGAACGGGCGCGTGGCCTAGGCGCCCCCAGCAACCGTCAGGCCCCCAAAATGGGGCCCATGTGCAGGCGCAGCATGCAACACGGCCACAGGGTTAACACCAGGCCTGCAGGTCAAACCACACACCGGCCGACATACCCAGTGACACACGCTCCACCCACAGACTTGGGTACTCAGATGAACAGGTGTTCACACAGGACACCGATATCAGCAATCACCACATCAGGCACAGGCTCATTAAAGATCCCAGCAACACACACCAGCACAAAAAAAAGCACAGGATTCACAGTCCCCAATTTTGCAGATTATACTCTTATAGCAACATACTATCATAGCGACTGGAAGCAGGACATAGACCTGGACAAACTATAGCGAGTGGAAGCAGGACATAGACCTGCACAACAATATGACCTGCGTTTTGAATACCTAGCAGCTGTCAGCAGACGTTTGGTGGGATAAGAGGGCAGCTACACCATAGTCAGTCCCTCTGCATGATCCGGTTTATCCACTGAGTTACGTAGACTCCAATGCCAAAAGAGGGGCTACGTAAGCCACCAGTACTTCCAAGCCTCAATTTACCAAGGAAGATTTCTGCTGTGCACCACATAAGCTGGCGGTGGGGTGAGCCCCAAATGCTGTGCACCACATAAGCTGGCGGTGGGGCGAGCCCCAAAAGTTTTGGTGCGTATACAGCCACGTGAGAACAAAATAACTGGGAAATGTACAGGCGGTTTATCTCACCTTCGGAAGAAATGTCGGGTTGACTGGGACAATTGCTGTCTTGGACGGAAGAACTCTTACAGGGTAAAACCCAAGCACCGTTCCTGCCAACTGCAAAGCATTTCGAGCACCAGCTGGACAACAGATATAAAAGTAGTCAGACTCAACCCAGCAAACGCTCACAACCCCAACTTTCAACTGCAAATGACAATATTGAGCACCAATCACCAACCATTCACCTCACACATGTTGCCATCTGAGAAGGTCAATCGAGCACGATGAATCCACTGAATATTGCATGATTACAGCTGACCTTCTGACTGAGCCCATCTAAGCACGAATACAGTTCTATACAAAGTTCTACAAAACTGACCTCCACGCAAAGTTCTACAAAACATTTACGTGCTGAGTCCTGAGGGTTTTTCAAGTACATTTTCTTAAATGCAAGGAAAATAAGCAACAGCGAGATGACAAATTCCAGATCACACCATCACATTGAAAGCCAGATAGTCACACTGTGTCCAGAGAGCAGCATTGCACCAATAATACACCAATGGAGGTTCGTAGTACTGACAACCAATGTCAAGGAGAGCTTCTCTCTCCGCCACAACACAAGAGTCCAGTCCCTTCACACTCCTACTTGGCGCTCAGCGCCCAGCCTACTCCTACACAGCTACGATCAGCCTACTAGTAGACAATGCAGCTGTTGACATCAGCGGCAACCCGAAGTACTTGAAGATGTCGCCCTTATGCAGACCATCGCCAATACAAGGTATGTGCCCTCACATCTCATCCATCGCCCTTCCCTGACTTTACACCCACGCATGTCCTCTCTTACACCCGAAGATCACTCATGCGCCTCACTGTAGTCCAAGCCCACCAGCTATGGTGGCTGGGCTATGGCGCTGCCCTCAGCAGCGCCCTGCTTCCCTGCACGACCGCACGTGCTGCACCTCGCCTCTCAGCGCTAGCAGCAGCCCACGAGCAATTGCTCCTGCAGCGCTGCCGCCAGCATGCGAGTGCCTGAATGAGGCTGGCAGGGGAGAGCTCTTTCCTTTATGGAAAGAGCTGGCCTGCTCGCACAGCCTGGCTGCACTGGCCTGGGCCCAGAAGCTTCCGGAGGGCCCCAGGATGCTGCCTTTGCTCTGCAGCTACTGGGCCTCGTTCGGTTGGGCCTCCCAACTGTCATTGTACGAGGCTGCGATTCACGCCCAGGGCCAGCATTCTTTGGAAAGGCCCGGTAAGCCGTGGAAGTGTCTTTGTTGCTCGGCCTGTGTTTCTTTCAACCAACTGGCGCGTCACAACTGCCTGTACCCCAAAAATATGAAATTGACAGTCAAAGGCCTCTTGTGAAATATCTGGCCCGCCTTCACTTAGGGCGGGCACAACTGTAACCGGGCCCCCTCAGGCCTGCCGAGGACCCAGAGCCTCGCATTCCCTCCTTTACTTCGTTAGTCCTCTGAGAAGTCACTTATTCTGCAGGCATCTTCCCTTTTCGTTCTCTTTCATAGCCTGCAATCACTTGAGGTGCTGTTCTCAGAAGATCTTCTCGTGTGAACCAGCGATCTTCCTTCGAATTGAGGTGATGTCTGAAGCTCACACGATACTGCATTCTCGGTTTAGGAGGGCGCCCTCTGCCTGAAGGTCGAGGAACAGGCATCATTTGATGCTCCACGATCTGATCGATGTCCACCTCGCCGTCCATGGTTGGGGGAAGCATTGATCTTCTTGAAGGAAACTGCTCTGTAGCAGCGAAAGGTGCCAACTTGGAAGCATGGAAAACAGGGTATGTGCATAAGTGAGGTGGGATGTGAATCACGTATGAAGGCCCATCCGGTTGATCTCCTACAATATCTAGGATCTCTCGAGTAGCGGGGGTAGGCCCGCGGCACTTAGAGCAGAGGGGAAAAACACTCAAGTAGCAGGTAGGCCGGTACCACTGAAGTAGTGGTAGACAAGTCGGGTACTGGAGGCCGAGCAGAAGAAGACAAAAAGTTGGCATTTTTAGAGGCCCAGTAGCGGTAGGTTAGAGGTAGGCCGGTACCAGTCCAAGTAGCCCGGGTCTAGGGCCTGTACGGAGGATAGCAGAGCCTGCAATGATGTTTCCCTCCGAAAGGGAGGAGGTACCGGTTGCTGGGAGGCCGCTCGGCCTAGGAAGTCACCGCCCAGGAGGTCGGTAGGCCGCTATATCTCCAGGAAGAGCAAAGAGCTCTTCCTCATTTGCGGTGTGCAAGGATTGGCGACATGCTGCTGGAGCCCACCTCTGGACTGGTGCAGTGCTGCTTGACGTGAAGGACCGCTGGAGCTCAGCCTGGCTATGGAGAGCAGCCCAGCTTGAGGAGGAGGAAGAAGGGCGCATGGTAGGAGAGTGGCGAGGCACTTACCCGGCTATGGTAGACACCATCTTCATCACCTTGTTGGGCGCTGCATCTGGAAAGCCCCAGTTGGGGTAGTGCTGCACCAAGGAAGCTCGAGGAGGAGTCAGGCATGGCGGACCAGTCAGCAACGGCATAGCTGCTTTGGGTTGTCCTTTGGACATCAGCGCAGCACCATAGCTGCTTTGGGTTGTCCTTTGGACGTCAGGGCAAGGCCCTCATTAGTCCGCCATAGCCTATGCATGAGAGAGGAGGCTGAAGGAGGGAAGCCATAACCATGGTGGACTGGTTGTTGTTGTTGTTGTTATTGTTGAGTTGAGTCAGCAGTAAGAGGGAACTTCAGATATTGATTCTCGTTCATCCATTCATTGTTATTATTATTATTGAGAGAAGAATAAGATTGGTGAAGTGAAGGAGGAGGAGGAAGGTRGAGAGAGAAGGGGGAATTGTCATTGGTCTTGCTGGTGTACATCTTCCTCTTCTTCTTCTTCTTTCTCTCTCCTCTGGTCTCTATCTTTTTGCAAGTGCTTTCATTTCTCTCGCAATTGGGTGGCATTGTCTTTCATTGTGAATTTGCACTTGGGAAATGACCAGGATCGCAATATCCTTTTTTGCCTGAAACGAAGGGCCATTTTCGATCGTTCATCAGAACGACCGGCCCTAAAACTCAGGCACCGAACCAGGGTTTCGGGAACAGGCTATTCTTAGCCTGTTCCCACGCCAGCCTCAACAGATGCTGCAGCGCCAGCCCCCGACACACTTCGGCATTGGCAAGAGCAGCCTCCTCGGCCTGGCTCGCCCTTCAGGCAATTAGGAGGCAGGCCGAGGTAGTACATAGGGACTTCCCATGCACTTCACGGGCAGGCACTTCATGATTCGGTAGCAGCACTCTGGAGGGAGCGCTGCCAAGAGTAGTCGTAGCGTTAGCCTTACTCTTCAGCGCTGGGCGCAGTAGGTAGCTGTAGTCTTCAACGCTGGGCGCCATAGCTAGGATAGCACTAGAGAGAGAGATTGGGCGGAGGCCAGGAGTACCTACCTGCAGCGCCGTTGCTCCAGCTTCGTCTTCGAGGTACCTGAGCACAGCGCCAACGTCACAGGTTAGTATCTGGCTTCTTCTTCCTCTTCTCAGTCCACCATCTCCCTCTCACCCTCTCCTTATCTGACTTCACTGCATCAGCAGACTACGAGAGAAGAGTGAGAGAGAGAGCTTGGTGACATTGGATCCAGACTCGACTTTTGGGCTTCAGACATTACGACGAGGGATTATTTGGGACTTGTGACAAAGACTTGGTGTTGACGACATTCCCATCTCTCCCCCTCTCTTCGTCTGATCCCCTCCTCTTCGTCTGTGTATGTCTGGACCTAGCGCTTTCTTCCTGTGTACAGCGCCAGGCTCCACAAGGATACGATGTATGTTTGGTATGCGTTCAAGCATTGATTGGGCTATAGTCATTAGCATTCTAGCATTCTGCTTCGCTATCTTATACTACGTGAATGAGGTCAGTCCCGGTCAGGTCACGCTTTGTATCTAAGTCTTCCCTGCGCTATTCAGCACCATTTTGTATGTATTAGAATGCACATTGCTTATTGAGATTCTACTTGCACTGCATTGTCCATTCAGTCCTTTTCATCACATTGCGGATACTCGGTTTCTATGTACATCGCCCAACTGGGCATGTAACAGTTGGTATCGAAATGCCGCACGTGAACCAGGACAACCTGATATGACACATGTGCGGGGACTAGGTAGCTGATTAGTCTTTATTGATTGATTAGAGCACACTAGTTAGCCCCCAAAATCACGATTTTGACCTTACTACCGAAAATCGGAATTTTTTTTTTTCTTTTCTTGGATTTTGTTTTCTCGCTATTCTGTTGCAGCGCAACATCTGAAATTTCCATTTTTCGTTTTCCTTCTGAAATTTCAAAATTTCGTTGTTGAAAATCCGGAATATCCTTCTTTTCGAAAATTTCGATTTCTTGTTGCATTTCCCGTTACTTAAAAATTGGGGATATCTTTTTTTTTCTGAGTACAAATCCGGGCCGCCTGGCCGACCAGCGCCTGCCCGGGGGAGGTCCCGGGCGGCCTGTCAGGGCGGGCGGCCCAGTTGGGGGCCGGGCACCCCCAGCACACCTTGTTGGGGGGGGGTGTTCCCACCCCGAATAGCCGAGTTGTGGCATCCTTAGGGCCTACAGAGTCCGACCAGGCCCAAAAAACGGCGCGTCATGCCCGTGAGGCCAGTTTTTTTTTTGAAATTTGTGACGGCCCTCCGGCCGTCGATCATCCATGATCGACGGCCAGAGGGCCGTTTGATTTTTGGAGGGAAAAACGAGGCCCCGTTTGAACAACCGACTGGCTGGGGCGGCCTGCATCGGCTGTCCAAACGGGGCCTTGGTTTTCCCCAGCTGCCTGCGTTCGAGGTTCAGCCGCCCTCGCTCCTCCTGCTGCCCGTTGTCGCCATCGCCTGGGAGGTACACTCCCCCGTCGTCGTGGAGTCCCCCGTTGCCCGTCGCCAGCGTCGTGGAGTGGCCCGTCGTTCGTCCCCCTCTCACCATCTTCTTCTTCTTCTTCTTCTTTTTCTTCTTCTTCTTCTCTCCTACTCCAACCCACTATCTTCTTTTTCTTTATTTTTGTTGTTCCATTCGTCAGCGATAGGTCGTGAGATAAACGACAGGTAAGAAAAAAAAAAAAACTGCTCCGCTCGTCATCTCTTCTTCTTCTTCTTCTTCTTCTTCTTCTTCTTCTTCTTCTTCTCTCC